GCATTTTTAACCAATCAACTCCTTCAACAGCAAAGGAGTGAGCGCCCCACAACCCTGACCCTTCCTTCAAGAGACCTCGCTGATCTCCAGAATTAATTTAAATATTCTCAGCCTCTCCTCTGCCACTTTTGTGTGGTGTCATTCACTCAGAAAGGAGATACCATTGAGCAAAAATTTAACTCCTTCAGCTCCACCTCTCTGTGGCAGATCAATGCTTTGAAGACCAAACGCCAATTTCTTTGGCGTAAAATGAAATTAAAGCTGAACTGGTCCTAACTGGGATCTCCATCTTTATTSAGCAGAACTGAAAAAAGGGGGAAAATGGGGAAAAARWCCCTCCTAGGCCCACCTGGTAGAGTTTTATGATGTGTGGGTGGTCGAGCATCTTCATTATCTGCACCTCCCTGTAGATCTTCTCCAGGTTCACAGCATCCAGCTGAGATTTGTCGATGATTTTGATTGCCACCTGCAGCCAAAAGACAACAAAAGTGAGGTTAAAAACTCCCCAACRCGCTCCTCATTAGCTTTATCCTCGTTAGCAAGGGAATAATGCAGCCCCAGGTAACTGGAAMTGAAATCCCAGACTGAAAAATGCAACATTACGTTGGTCAGTGGTCCCTCCGAGGGGCTGCATGTGGAAAAAAACAAGTTTTCCATGAGAAAAAGCAGATTTTCTATGAGAAAAACCAAAGTTTCTATGAGAAAAAGCAGACTTTCCATGAGGAAAAGCAGATTTTCCATAAGAAAAAGCAAAGTTTCCATGAGGAAAAGCAGGTTTTCCATGGGAAAAAGCAGATTTTCCTTGGGAAAAAGCAAAGTTTCCATGAGAAAAAGCAGATTTTCCATGGGAAAAAACAGATTTTCCTTGGGAAAAAGCAGATTTTCCATGAGAAAAAACAGATTTTCCAGGGAAAAAAGCAGATTTTCCTTGGGAAAAAAGCAGATTTTCCATGGGAAAAAGCAGATTTTCCATGAGAAAAAGCAGATTTTCCATGGAATGGAAGGCACAGAAGAGGTGAGGCAGGCCAGGTGCTCTCATATCAGGAACCAAAGACCCTGCAGTGACCAAAATCTTCTTAAAAAGCTCAATGCTGTCCATTCCTGGAGTCAGGGGGTAAAATCTGA